ACAGGTGGGGCGCCGGCGGCATATTTTGCCGCGCGACACCAAATCGGCTACCTTGTGGTTCTCCCGGCGGACAAAGCCACCAAATCAGATGACAACAGCCGTGAAAATGAGCCGCAACGGCCGACCGCGCGGCGGGGGACACCTGCTGTAAGGAGAGGGGGACGCAGCCGGCATATCTGATCGGCCGCGCTCGCAGATGATGAAAGGTGCGGCTGACCAGCGAGCCCTCCCCGACGGGCGGGAGCCGACCAGAAATGCCGTGCATAAGGTCCGAACATCACAGCGGGGGATGACATTCGAAGTGGCGAACAAGGCTGCCTATCTGAAAAGTAATTGCCATTCAAAGACATAACTTTTGAACCACATTTCCCATGGACATCTGAGTAAGTATATCATCTCAGCGGTATTGCGTTATCTGCTAAGGATGTCGAGCGGCTGTCGGTACTTGACATTGCCATTTAGGTGGGTTAGATAAATTCACAAAGATGATATGCACCCTATGAATCAATTAGCCTTATTGACAGCAGAGGCGGCAGCGGCAGCAGTCAGTCAGACAGCGGTGTCCGATGACTGGTGCCGGTCGTCCTGGTGACGCGGTCCTGCGGCGGCTGGCGGTCGCCAGAGGCCGGCTGGTAGCGGCCTGCTGCCGCCACCGCCTCGGACCACATGTGTGCCATCCGGGACAGGCGCGGCCGCCGCCGCCACAGAGGGTGTTTACGGCCAGCCAGCCACGGAGAGGAGGCTGCCGGCCGCGCCAGCGCCACTCGACCGCGTCACATGGCGTTAATTTGTCATAAATACCGCGCTGGCGTTCGTTTTAATTACAAAGCTGGCGCGGCGACTTTGGGGCTGGAAATGGAGATCATATTTCGTCCGCTGCAAGCACAAAAAGCCGGCATGCCCGAAACAGGCGGCCGAAAACCAAAACAGAGGTCTAACACTGCAAATAAACAGGCTGGATGGGCGCCCCGCTGCTTCATATCACACCAGTCCACGGAAGTGAGTGTTTGGACTGAGACGGACGCCCACTGTCCTGTCGGCACCCGCCGCATTCCGACAGCTCCTTAGTCTCTGTCGGCCGCCGCGCGGCAGGACCAGGCCGACAGGACACCGGCGCACCAGAAGGCTGCCCGGGTAATGAGTCAAGGCGCAGAGCGCTTTGTGGTCTTGAATTATAGCAAAGTGGATAAAGAGACGCATTGCGATATTTTTCACTAGCGCCGGCAGCGCAGCTTCGTTACGTGAAGGCATCCACCATGTCCGGTTTTGCTTTATCGACTAGTGTTGACAGCGATGCTGTAAAGTCTGACAGCCATATAGCCGTGCCCACCTACACGAAGTGTCAGCGGGCAGTGTTGCGCTGACAGAGACGTCCGCTCACCAGTCGCCACTCGCAGCGGCCGTGTGCCGTCGGCGGCGGCACGGCGCTGTTCGCGGCTGGAGCGGCAGCGGCGTCCCGGCGGGCAGAGCCGTCTCCGCGGCAGGGCGGCCCGACTCCCGCGGCCGGCGCGCCGGTGCCGCGGCGGGTGGCGCAGCCGTCGCACCACGGCACTGAGAGTCTATAACAGCATGAGCAGCAGCGCCAAGGTACCAGCGAGCTCCCGGAGCCTTCAGCGGCATTCAGCAGCCGCTGCCTGAGGGCTATAGGAATTTTCTGGCTGCAGAAATACGCACTCATCGACCAATAACAGCAAGTACCTATGTAATCAATGTTCGTCATTAACTCCCGAGCATTGACTTTTATCTACAGAAAAACTGCTATAACAGGTTGACGTCGTCGCGTTTCGCTGTAGTACCTGCGGCAATGGCAGCGTCCCATGGGACATGCGATCAGCCAGGATTTGACGGGCTTCGATTTCAAACCAGCTCACTGCAGGAGGCCCGGCTCTGGTCCAGAACAAAAACCTCAAATAAACCCCTAATAACGACCGAGGGCGCGGTACAAAAAGGGCGACCTGTCGAGTTTCACACTCATCTATCAAAGCCGCCGCGCCCCTGGGAGGCGTCTCCCAACATGTCAGAAACATGTGAAGATGCGGAAAGGTATGCATAATTCAAATTGCAGCAAGCAATATATTTACGACGTATATAACTTCAAATACTAATTCATATGGTCCCTTTAGGTAAATGTATCTCAAGATGGCCTTATGTTCAATGATTACGAAAAGTTTGAAAATTAATTACATAATAAATTCATTTTGGTCACTGTCCTTCTTCAGTTCGAAATTGCTTACAAAATTGCATGCAAATTTAAACAGAAGATTATCTGTTCAGGTAGCTGATTTTGGAAACATTCGCATTCATTGAACAGAAGATTATCTTGAGATATAGGTATATATTATGTATGTATGTATATGTAGATCATTATGCTGTTCATTCACGTATATCGTCATTTAACCCGCGACCTGGTGGGGGGGGGGGGCTATTTTTTGCCCCCCCCCCCTCCAGACTTTTCGATATATCTCCAGAACCGCTGCGCCGATCGTCACCAAACTTTCAGTACCCTCCCGGACATCAATTTTACATGTGGTGACCAGAAATTTTTCCAAAGGCTATGATAGGTTGGCCGGAAATGACGTCAGAGTGACGTCATGTTCTGCCGTTTTCGACCCAAAAAAGGGTTTCGCGGGAAGAGCTGTCAGGCCTATAACTTTGCAAATACAGAAAAATGATAAGAACATAAAAGCTGTAGAATTGACAGGGCTACAAAACTGCTATCTCGGATTTTGAAATTTTTGGATTTTGACCCCCAAAAATCAAAAGATAATTTTTTGGAATATAATGATCGAAAAATTTAAAAAGTTTTTTGAATTTCGCAAAAAAAAAACGGAATATATGTGATAGTCCTTACCGACTTCCATCCACATACCAAATTTGAGATTGATACCTCTTTTTTTGGCGAAGTTATAGCGAAAAAACTGTTCAAAATTGATGACGTCAAATTTTCAAACTCAATTTTTAGCAATTCTAGACCCCGTAGCGCAAAACAAAGACCACCATTAGACTCCCCGTGACGAGCTGCATCGAATCAATACCCATTTTATGGAAAACTATCAACTTTAAAATTTGACCTTTTTTGGCCTGACCTTGACCTGACCTTGACCTGAACTTCACCAGAAAGTGACCTAAGCCGTACCTGATAGTCTTATAACCAACACCATTGAGTTGGAAATGAAAAATTGGCCATAAAACATGCATCACACAACCTTAGTAAAGTTGGGCTCATGTGACCTGACCTGTGACCTTTGGTGACCTGACCTGTGACGTGACCTGGTATTGTCAGTGACCTCTAATAGCAACATATATACTAGGCAACTGACGCCCTATCGCTGATTCTCGACAAAATGCGTTTTCCTCGGTGTTATAGCGCATTCCCTAGAAGACCCGTGAACGGTGAAACATTTCATCTTTGACCTGACCTGTTACGTCATCGGTGACCCCGAGGTCAATGAAATTTGGTTCCTTTCGACAAATTTGACAGGCCTTTCGAACGCCGTTTGAATTTTGCGGATCCGTCCAGTAGTTTTGGAGATACGAGGGGGGGGGGGCAAAAAATAGCCCCCCCCCCACCAGGTCGTGTTATAAACAGACCCCACCAGGGCGCGGGTTAATTGCAGCCTTTCTAATGTTTCAACTGTAGAATTCGCATTGTGTTTTGTACGGAACAGGCCATGAGCCATGAAATATACCTAGGCCTCGTAATTCAACGTCTATAGCACGTCAAGATTCGAGTACCTATAGTGTTGCGCCTTACAGATTCTGTAGTCGACTTACAGAATGATGTTCCACTCCTCAGAAGCTATCAGTTGACCGGAGCGCTAAGTTGTGCCGTTTATTACGCAATTAGGCGTGTCGATTGTGAGCATTGGGACAAAGCTATAATTTGTGAACTCAGCCCGTGTGATGCGGCACAGCCTACCACTCAAGGCAAATAATTGCCTGTGAAAAGTGGAACATCATTCTGTAGTCGACTATACAACGAAATGGTGACTAGAATGGCCCAGTGGCCGGTAGTGTCGGTAGGTACGTAGTAGGTAAGTACACTTAGGTACTCGGCGCCGTATCGGTACACTGAAGTGCACAGTTCTTGAGCCGAGTCTGTGCATGTGCACCGTGCTGGCCCTGAGTGCTGCTCGAGTGCCGTGCCGTCTTCTGTTTGTAATGGAGCGTGGCTCCGACTCCACTCGACTCTCTCAGGGAGTAATTATGACCCGGTGGCCGGGCAGCGGTCGGGCGGTGGATCAGGGGAGCCCTCTGACCGCGCGCGCCCAGCGGGGGCCGGTGTCGGCCGGACCCCCGCCGGGACCGACTGCTCACAGGGCGCACAAACAGGGTACACACACCGCGTACACACGGGGCACGGGCGGCCGCCGCCCGGCACGGGGAGCATTCGGCGCACAGGGGCGCCGCCGCACGGGGAGCACTCGGCGCACAGGGGCGCCGCGGCGGCACCATATGACACCGGATCGGCCACGCGCCGGCCGCCGCGGACCCCCTCAGCCGGGCGCAGGGGCCGATTTACCAGAATTAGGTCGGAGTGTCACAAAGGTGACACAGAATGTCACCATTTCATTGTTCACCAGCTCATAATACCAGTACCGACGTCCAGCGACCGCAGTCATCGCTTTGAAAAGGGTTTGAGACCAATGCAAAAGTGATTGAAAATCGGAAACAGTTTAATCCTAATCTTTCACAAAATAAAATAATTGAAGATCAACTAGAAGGTAATCGTGCAGAAGGCGATATTGAACATGATATTACCTTGCACTGGTCGTACACTGAAAACAAAATTACCCATGGGTGATGAGTAAACTCATGAACCGGCGGTAATTTTAAACAACCTATTTGACTGCTCGAGGCGCCGGTAATGTAACTAGGCCTGCACCGGTCATTCCACCTCTCAATTGTGCGTTAACTCATGTCTCTTCACTCGTGTAGTATGAGTTAACCGATTGTGAAAAACTCATGTACTCTTGGTAACTCATTTTGATTACTCATGATATGCGAGTATAGGCTTACTCATATTACACCGTTAATGAAGACACCACACGTTTGACTACATGAGGCGCTAGTAAATGTTACTAGCCCTGTAGCGGTCACATCACCAATGAGTTGCGGGTTAACTCTCGTTCCCTCACTCATACCACATGAGTTTACCGTTTGTGACGAATTCAAGCATTGCTAGTAACTCATGCCATGCAACGATTGATACGCGAGTTAAATGTAACTCATAACATGATGGTCAAGTGAACACACCTATTAGATCGCTCTGCCGCCGGTTTTTCCACTCTGTCGACTCATCCCCTGGCGGTCAGCCTCACCCATGAGATGAGAGTCATAACATTAAAACATAAGGTTTATTAAAACAATGCATAGCATGCAGATAAACCACGACTATTACATCATTGATCTATGAACAAGGGTGATGAACACAGCACGACGCTCATGCCCTTCCAGACATGAACTTGGCCTACACGCATGAAAAAGCTTTAACGCCATTTCTTTGCAAAACTACCCGGCAGAAACACAAACACAAAAAGAGACAGAAAGTCCCTAAAGTGCTGCCTCATGTCCCTCCCCGTGCACTCCTAAACGCAGCCGGTCATCGCCGCCCACTGCTTTGGAGGCGGCGACACATCGGTCTTCAGGATCACGGCACACATCAGGTAGCCGGCCAGACGGATGGCTGGGCGGTTGAACGACTGCGCAAACACTGTGAACGCGGCCCCCCACGTCAGCAGCTTGTTCACCTTTGCCGTTTGCTCCTTAAACTGCACTGCTGGCACGCCCTCTATGGCGTGGAAGTCGTCCGCCACATGAGGCCGTGGCTGCGGCGCCGATGTGAACACAACTTGGTGCTCTTTAGCACGGTGCAGAGAAGATGGTCGATCGCATCGTCTGCGACGGAAAAATTTACCTTCAGAAATCAAGGCCACGAACTGCAAACTTTAATTTGGTACAGTATGCCTCTCGCAATTTTAACCCACGTCTTCCTGGGGGAGGGGGAGGGTGTTTGAACACCCCTTCTGTGGATTTTCGCGAATATCTCAAAAAACGGCGGCACTCCGGGTCACCTAAAGTCAGGTCGCCAGGTCAAGCCAAGTGACCTCACTACTTAAAAAGTTATAAAGCCTACCATAGCTACACCCTAGTGACCGATTGCTTTGAAACTTGCAGCGATTGATAAGAGCAACAGTTTGTACAAAATGTATATCTTAGCATTTTGATGTCGATGGCCTAAGGTCAGGTGAATTTTGCGACCTCTCAGTTAAAGGTAAGTAAATTGGAGACAATCGAAAGGCGCCTCTTTTGGACGTAAGTCATATTGGCCGTAAGTCATATTGGCCGTTTTCGCGACGGGCTACCCGGCGAGTGCACCTAATTTGACCAAATCTGCACCTAATCTCTTTTGCAGCAAATATCTGTATTTTATGAATTTATTTCAGTGTTTTCATCGATGATACTCTCTGATAATATGGTAAAGCAGGCATATAAGCAATTAGTGCAACCACACTTAACATGAAAATGGCACCCGTGACCCCGTTTTATGCCCCTGATGACATCTCAGGTCACGAATGGTATCTGACAGTTTTTCGCGAAGAACTTTTGATAGAGGCATAGAACGATGAAAACACCTTCGTTGTGTTCATCTCGACGAACGGATCAACTGATATGCAACCTGACCCTTATCGGTCAGGTCATGACCTTGAACTGAGGTCAAATTTTTAAGTTAACCTTTCAAGGTCACATAATAGTTTATTCAATGCGTCTTGCCGAGAGAAACACGATTCCGGTAAAAGAAAGTACGTGAAAGGCTTAAGTCAAAAGTTTTTGCTGAAAAACTTTCAGAAAAAATATATCTATTTTGGCAGTTTTTACCCCTCCCCCGCATGCAAAACCACTGACGGCAGGTCAAATCTGAGAGAATTAATCAGAAAGAGCGTTAATGGGCTATCAAAGGCGCTTTTCTGTGGTTTTGTAGCTCTATTACTTTCCGAGCTATGCGTTGATCTGATCAAAATTTGAATGTTGTCAAAAATTGAAAATTATCAAAATTTAACCTGGAAATCGGTGAACTTTTGCATTCAATGACCTCTGGTGACCTGACCTTTGACCTGACCAAAAAGTGACCGAAATAATTTCTTCCTTATTTTTGACGTCCTTTCGAACACCGCCTTCGCCGTATCGCTACATGGCCCAGGAGCTAAGTTAAAAGGGGGGTTCAAACGTTTCCTCCCCCTCCCCCCCTTCCCCAGCAGGGCCTGGAAATCCAGGAACTCCCGCGGGGTGCGGGTTAGAAGATGCTTGTGAGCATAACATTAAAATATGTTTAGAGTAAATAGTGCTCGCATATATTATTTTGAAATTGACGATAAAAATGTGTTAATCATACTCAATGCCTATAGGTATTGAGTATCCACTGTAGTTTACTACAGTGGATATAACGATGAACTTCTATGATCTCTTATAAGAAGCACGAATGAAATTTCACATTTTTCTGCTCTTTTTTTTTAAATACTTTCCGTGTAAGTGTATACGACTTACGAGTATATCAAACTGTTAACAGGACGTTCATAAATACATGAGCTTTTGGTACTTATTCGGTTACGGTTCCAACATTCCCGGGTAAAATGTTGTTAACTTACCATCTGTGAGGCATCCAGCTGCTCTTTCACCTTCGCCATTGGCCACAATCGGGGTCATGGCTTCCCGGGAGAGTTCCAACTCGTTGGTGTCCTGCAAGTCGGCATTTTTTATCCGACTCAGCTCTTTCCAGACCTGAAAACAAAGGATTAATGACGCATGCTGAAGGACGACTATACCAGTAAGACGCCATCGATATTCGCATGGCCGGCTTAAATTCTTCTACTTCTTACTGCAGCGTCTGAAAATTAACTGCCAATCCAGTTCCGTTATCGGTGGTCATGCAAATGCGATGTCACGCAAGCACATCTGTTTTACAGTAGCATTAGTAACTCTCGCAATCCCTACCGTGCGGCGGACATGACCCTGGGGTTATGCATGCATTGTCTGTATAAGTACAGACTTGTGCCTCAGCCAAAAATCAAGATCCAAGATCCGCAAGATCCCATGCAATGCCAGGATTTCAGAATACTGGATCTCCTTGATCTCATTGAAAAATATAATATAATTTGAGGATCAAAGATCCCCTGGATTGCACGTATAAATAACACTTTAGGATTCCGGACCCCACGCGAGAACGAATTGCCAGAGTTCAAATTTCCTGGATCCAACGTAAATGTCATGTCTGTAGACATTGAGCGTTAAGTTTGAACTTTAGGGCCAGCGAAGCAGGTTGTGCACAAAGACTTCTTAAACAACCTTGTACGCCTCGCTAATGCAAAGCATTTTGAAATTTAGCAAGAAAAATGTGTTCTCAGAGACTAAATGTAGGACACAAGATCCCCAGAATCAATCCACAGAGCAAAAATGTAAGATTCAAGATCGCCGGTATTCATCGACAAAAGAAACATGTTGGATCAAGGACCAGCAGGGTCTCCAAAAAGTATTGATGAATTTATAATCAGATAGAAGAACTGCGCTCTTGGATCCTGTGGATCGAATCATTTTCGGATATTGGCCCTAGTCTGTCGGTAACAAAGGCAAGGGAAACAAAATACACATGAGGGCGGGTGCAAAATAACTCAAGATGAGCTTCAGAAAGAAAACTGACTCTGAGTGCCGGTGAAGGCGCGTCTGCAGTTGCACGCACCAAACCACCTGACTCTGACTGCATAGGATCGCTAATTTACAACGCATCAGACCATGTACAATGATTCATGTTATCTATGACAATGTACATACTTTGTTTTCATCGACGACAGATGGTGGCCATCGGGATTTTCCTCTTGACGATGAGGTGTCGCCTCTCTGAGAAAGTGGCCTCCATGGCACCGTCCAGCTGAGGAGATGAGAACATCATATAGAATCAATTCGACCATGCCTGGTATCTAGATCTCACTCTTGGGGGGTGCAGGGGTGGGCTTTTAGAAGAAGCACTTGGGGTGTTCATTTTTAGAAGGATTCGGCCAAATGATTCAATTACAAGTCGTTTATTACAAAAATACTAGATGAACTACGAGGAAGATGAAAAACATGATGAAAAGCTGACCTAGCCTTACCTTATAACCTACTAACTAGACCTTACAACCTAAATAGGTATATATACCTACAATCTACCAGCCTACATCTTAGGTACAACATACAACCTTCCACATGCCTACCACTCGAACTTCATTTGCACATATACCACCTATCCTAACCTATAGATGTTTGCACCAGGGTTTGAGCATTAGGGGCTGGCAGAAATAGATGCTATAGGCAAAGGCTTAAAGAAAATACTTGATGTTTAATTATTCTGTTAGGCTTCACGCTGGCAAAGCTGCCCGTAGAATAACAGGTTAGGTTTCACTGTAGGGGCATGTTGAGCATGACTGATATGATATTCCACATTTTGATGCATATTATGAACCCCTCAAAAAGGCTTTCATGTTATAGACAATACATAACTAGGAGGGTCAACCAACCCACAGGACAACCCAAGGTATCAGTAGTGTTGTGTGAGTGCACATGTAGGTACATTTTCAATGAAAATATGCATTTTGCACTTAAACATACCTACAGGCAATAAAATACGTAACATCTAACACTCACCAGTCGCTCCAGCCTCCAATTCACTGCGTCCGCCGCGTCCCGTGCTGCACTTCCGGCACAAACATGCAAGATGGCGTCATGGCGGTAATATTAACGCGTAAGGCTTGTGTAAAGCAGCTCATGGATAATTCACGGTTGATCATATTTACCGGCGCATCATTGGTTTCCTTAAGCTGCGTTTGAAGAGTTAATGATTTCAAACTGGTTTTTGAACTCATTACTCACGAACAATGAGTTAGCAAGAATCCCTGTCCTCTTTTTTCATGAGTTCTTAAACCCAAACGTTCAGTTTCACTAACTCACGGGTCGTGAGTACATTCCTTACTCGCCTTACATGAGTTTGCGAGACTCAACAGGGAGTTTTGATACCAATGTTTTGTGCGTCATGAGTCAGGCAACTCATAGGGAGAAGGTCATGCATTTGGGCAATTGAGTTTTCAAAACGAGTAAACTTTTACTCTTGAGTGTTAACGCTCCACGCATGAGTTACTCATCCAAATATACTCATGAATGGCGAGTCAAATATGAATTACTCTCCCCTCATGAGTAGATTTGTTTTCAGTGTACAGCCAATGAAAAGCTTAAAAACACTCAGCCCAGTTAGTCCTTACTCCTTATACCTATAGGTATCCTATACCTATAGGTATCGCTATCTAAATGTAATGATCAAGTTGGCTTCTATAGAAGCCATTAGATCATTACATTTAGATAGCGAGCAACCATTCAAAATGTTTTTTTATTACTGAAGGGTAGTGCCTAATGACACACTGGGTCTATAGTTTCTAAAAGGCACGGTATGAGTAGTTGCACCGTGCACGCCTACTTTATAAGCACAGCTCAATAAAACAGTTGCAGTGGCTTGTTAGAGTCACAGTTATCACCGACTTGTAGTTCGTTGTCATCGACTGGTCACACTTTTCATGTTTCATTATCTACTACGAGTTAATGGCCTGACCCTTTACGATTTGGTGATCTCTGTTATTGTCTTGATGTGCCGTTTCATTGATCTCTCGGTGGAGTGGCTCTGCTCCCCTGTCTGAGAGCGGCGGCCCGGCGGAGCAGCGCTGCCGGCCGTCCATCACCGGCCCCGCCGCCGCGCCGCGCCGCCCGCTGCGCTCACTCTTCATTATTCATAAAATTCGCCCAGATCGGGCTGTCGGCAGCGGCTGTTCCCACGCGCCGGGTATGCGGATCTGGCAGCCGTCGGCGGCGGCTGGCAGGGCAGCGCGCCGCGCCGGTCGGCGGCGGGCTGGCGGCCAGCCTCAGACCGGTAATCTGGGCGGGCCACCGCCCCCGGCCGGGCGCTCACTGTAAAAACCAATGTTTACCAATTAATAGAGGACAGGCGACAGAGAGCAGCCGCTTCGGGAGAGAGGGGAGGGACAGCGGCGACCGCAGAGACGCGCCGCAGCCCCGGGCCGTGTTCTCAGTGAGAGGGCGGGGCGGGAGCGACCGCAGGGGAGGCGCTGTTGAGCCGCAGGGCACTGGAGAGGAGAAAACGAGCACGGACCGGCGCCGAGGAACACACGTTCAGAGATGACAATTTATATAATAGTAGGTATGAATTTGATGATACTGATTCATTAAGTGTTGTGCGTGACCCATGTCCTTAAAACTTGTTGAACATCGAATTGTGTGAATTTGTAAAATATCGCCGCTTTTCAAGCTTAAATTTTCCATTTGTCTCCGGGACTGTAGCGGGGACAAGACAGCTCGAAGACGGGCAAAGGCAATTCACAGACGAGCGAGCCCCTAGACAGGAGACCAAAAATAATGCAATAACTGAGCTGTCGGGAGAGGTCGCAGACGGACATGAAGTTTAGTCCAGTAGCCGGGCTGGGTCGGAGAGTCCGAACATCAAAGACAGAAGACAGCAGGCAGCAGGCCCACAAGTAGGCCAGCGCGCCGCCTCTGTACCGCCTCTGTGTCCGCCGCGTGGTGGGCTGTGTATATTGTACGCCGCCACCGATAAACAGCGCGCTCTGTGTGGACAGGCCGCCGACCGCCGACCAGTCACCACTGACCACTGGACACCGACCGCCGACCAGTGACCACTGACCACTGACCACTGACCGCTGACCGCTGAGTACTGACCAGTACCATTAACCACTGACCACTGACCACTGACAACCGACCAGTGACCAGAGATCACTGACCACTGGCCGCCGACCACTGACACCACTGACCACTGACCGATGAGTACTGACCACTGACCGCCGACCGCCGACCAGTCACCACTGATCACTGACAACTGAGAACTGTACACCGACCGGCGGGCCTGTTTAGTGTTTATTGTTTAGGTAGCTGCGTCCTCCCTGCCCAACGTCTACTGTCCGAGCATGCTCCGCTGGTTTGGAGAAGCTGGGTCGCGACGCACATATCGTTTCAGTGTCCAAGTCTCCCTGTTTCCATCGTCTTCAGTGTTCTAGTGCGCTGTCGGCAGTGAATGTGTATCCCTTGTAGGGTGAGGTCAGCGTAGGATACAGATTGTGCCGAAAGTAAAACATCAGGTCAGGCGCCAATGCCGATGGCTCGTGAATTGGCTGCACTGTTGCTATGATTTTGCGACAGAACTCAAGGATATTTCGATAGACGTGCCTGAAAAAGTGCATGCTTTTGCAGCCTTCACCTTGCAGAAAGAGCAGAATATGAAATGCTGAGTTTTATTTTGTGAAAGGATGGATAGCTAAACTAATTATAATTTAGAGTTAAGATTTACAATTGTCTGCAATATGTCCCATTGTCTACTAAGACTACATTCAGTTAAAAAAATAACAAATATGGTGATAATATCGGAACAGAGCGGCGGCGGCGGCATTTTCCACTCTCCAACTGACTAGCAGAGGTCAGATAGGCGCAGGGATGAGTCTCTCACCAGCCTGCGGGTGAGATCTCACCACAGTCTGTGGGTGAGATCTCCCCACCGTCTGTGGGTGCGATGTGCGCACCAATGCGCCTCTTCTCCCCATCGTCTGCGGTTACTATGGCTCTCCCCACCGTTTGTGGGTGAGATCTCCCGCGGCTGTGGGTGAGATCTCCCTCCCAGGCAGCCAACGAGTGAATCTCCCACCGTCTCTGAGTGAGATGATCTCGCCGAGAAGTCGTATACCGCGGCGGCTCCGGCTGGCAATTACGGCAGTGTGCCAATAAAGTCCGGGTGGGTGGAGACTGCGGCGGCGTTCCCAGGGGAGCGCCGCCGGGGCGAGGGCGGGGGCGGGCCGGGCGCTCCCAGCCGCACGGCGCTCTCGGCTAATTCTCACGCTTCTCCTACAGCGCTGCGGAGGCACTAAATCGACTCTCGTGAGCGCGGGGCGGTGCCGGCCGCCGGCCCGCGGCCCCTCCGGAGGCTGAGCGCCGGGAAGCGGCCCGGTGCGCGCGCAGTAGGACCCAGTACGTGTCCTCGGCGCGTATCAGATGCCGGTGCCAGCTCCTCAAGTCAGAGTTCTCTTAGAGCGACCAGCAGCGGCCGCACAAGAGGTGTCGTCGTGGTCCTTGGAAACCTCTCCTTCTCTTGTCATCGGTATACCATCGGTCACCGTCTGATTGACCTGATTCAGCGGCGGGGGCGGGGGCGGGGGCGGCGGGCGCGCGCTGTCGGCCGCCGCCAGGGCGGCACATTCAGCTGTCGGCGCCGGCGCCCGGTGACGGATGACCACCGTCACATGTCAGCGTCACGCGCCGGCCAACAATGCCTCCGTGACGGCCGTCGCGCGGGTCGTGACGCTCGCCGCGGTGGTCGGCGGCCGGTCCGTGTCAGGCGCGGCCGACCCCCGGTGGGCGGCCGAGGCGCCGTGCCCGCGCCCGCGCCGTGCGCCCGCCCGGACGATTGTCAGAGCGCGGCCAGCTCTGATTGTCCGACTTCGTTATCGTGTGGGAGCGGAATGTCCGATATTGTGTGGGATGTGCCGCTTGTGATTGCTGATTTACGTTTTGTGGAGCAGGTCCGCTCGGCGAGGTGGTTCCTTGAGAACGGCGGAACGAGTGTGGGGATGAATGGGATCGGTGATGACTGATTTCACCACCAATCACCATACAGCTGCGGTATGCACTAGCTGGTTCCCGTATTCCGAATGACCACAGTCTGTGGAGAGACTAACCGAGAGGACCCTGGATCCCAGAAGACGGTGCCCCGGTCCCGGGTCCTAGAGGACGGCATCCCGGGTCCCAGAGAACTCCAAAGGGTGGCGTGTGGAGAATCCTTCTAAAGGAATTTGAGACGGTGCTGACATGCATATTCAGTAGTTTTGGAACACAATGGCACGTGCATCCGCTATATAGGTATATTGTATATTGAAATGCACAAAAGTCGATTTTCAAAAGACCTCACATAATACTAATAATATCCCACTCTCCAAAAACTGCTGTTTTCAGCAACTTCAGACAAGCCGACAGTTTTACCCAGTAGCTAATAAGTACCCAAGAAGTCATCAGCATTCCTGTCATACCAGCGCCGCGGCGGCTACCTGGGCAGAGACTGACCCCCTCCCCTCCCAGTGAGCCGATTAGCACGGCCGCCTGACTCCCAAAGCGGCCGGTCGGAGGCCCGTGCAGAAGGGCGGCACGCGCCCACCGACCGGTGCGCTGAACCGTGGGCGGTCGGCCACCCAGCCGGCGACCGGCGACCCGTGTGACCCGTGTGACCCGGCCGGTGACACGGTGACAGGTGCGGTCGAAGGAGGGGCGGGCTGGAGCGCGGACGGAAAAACAGCCTAGCGGCGGCCACCGGACGGGCCACCGTGGCCCCACCGCGGCGTGCCGCTGCAGAAACATTGAACCGAGATAAGGATTAGCGAACGGTTGCTAGGTGATGCTGGTGCTAATCATTGTTTCTATATAAAGTTGATAGTTTTTTAAAGAAGGAAATGGTAAATTTTGATAAATTTCTGGCCATGCGTAGGGATTAGCTCCTGTCAGCGTATTATCTTAATCCGCGGGTGGGTGTAGCTGCTCTAATGGCGTGGGGTGCTAGGAGCGCTTTTAACTTGCTGTGTTTTATGAAGACTGCTTGTACGAGCATATGAAAAATAACGTTTGAATTGCAGCTGAAAAGCTTGGCGCAAGATGAATAAATTTGAAATGCAATAAATAAATAAAAAACATTATGGAGAAAAGAAATTGACAAATTCGGAAATAAAAATACTCAGAATATTTGAGAACAAATGATTTTGAGAACATATGAAATGCTAAGTTTTTTTGTCATGCTGGGTAAAGGGAGCATAGTTATCACATTGGTTTTCAGGTACCCAGAGAACGCT